GCGAGGGCAGCAGCACCCGCCAGGCGTCCAGGTCGCTGGGCCGGCTGTCCGAGGCGCCCGAGCTGCGGGATGGGGAGGCTGCGGAAGGCCCGGGGCCCACCGCCGCTGGACACCTCGCCCGGCCTCGCTGTGCCCGGGCGGGACCCCACCCCGCCCAGATCGACAGGTGCCCGCTGTCCCCGCGCTGAGCGAGTCTGTACCACCACCCCCGCCCGAGATCAGGACCCCGTCTTCGTGCGGTCGCCACGGGTTCCCCGCTGCACCCGCGCCGACGGCTGGGCGGGCCAGACTGCGTCCCAGGTCGACGAGGGGTGGGCGCAACGGGGGCAGGAATGTGTCTGATGGACTCGGGATGTAGCTCAGAGGCGCGGCGCCCCCCTGGCAAGCATGAGGTCCTGAGTTCGACTCCCGGCCACCTCCCCGCAGAAAACAAGCTGCCTGAGACATGGGTTCTCACTCACTCCAGGAAGCAGCTGGCAGGAGCCAAGAGCCAGCTTTCAGACACCAGCGCCCCGTGGCAGGGTCTGGATCCTGGAACCGTCACCTGGGCTGCCCAGGGCCAAGACCCGGGCCTCGGAGCCTCCCCGCACTCTGAGGGGCGAGAGACCGGGTCAGGGGCCCGCGGAAGCCCTCTCTCCGGCAGCTCAAGCGCGGCCGCGGGCCGGCCCGGTGCGCTCACCTGGCAGCGCGATGGTGCAGTTCTCCTCCCCGGGCGCCGGGGGGCCTGACTGGGGCTGCTGCGGCTGGCGGGGAAAGACAGGCCCAGGCTCTGAGCCCATCACCCGAGCCCGTATCCACGCCTCATAGGGAGCCACAGCGGTGAAGACCCCAGGGCGGTTTCTCCGCCCACAGCCAAAGCCAAAGCTAGTGATTCCCGCCTGGAACCAGCGGCCGCCTTCCTCGCAGACCAGAGGTCCTCCGGAGTCACCCTAATGATAGATCACGTGTCAGGGGTGATCAGTCCAAGGATCCACCAGCTTCTACTGGCCTCACTGCAATGTTCTACCTTTCTTTCTTTCTTTTTAGTTTTTTTGAGACAGGATCTCGCCATGTAGTTCAGGCTGGCCTCGAACTCATAGCAATTCTCCTGCTTCAGCCTCCCAAGTGCTGAGACCGTCTAACTTGATCCCTACCACCACCATCCACGCAGGGGTGTTTTAAAAATGTGTGTCATTGGGGCTGGGGATTTAGCTCAGTGGCAAAGCGCCTGCCTGGCAAGCGCAAGGTCGTGAGTTCGGTTCCCGGTACCGAAGAAACCCCCCCCCCAAAAAAAGTGTGTCATTTGAGGAAGATTTCTGGAAAAATGGTTAAAATGTAGTACTTGGGTGTTTTTTGTTCTTTTTGAGATATGGTCTTACTTTGTAGTGCAGGCTGGCCTCAAACTCATGGCAATCCTCCTGCCTCAGCTTCTCTAGT